ATTCAGTCAGAATATGATATTACGAAGTATATTTGATAATATTAAGGTGAAAAAAGTAATTTATATATAACCTATTTACGTGGAATCTTGTTTTAAATTTCTAATCCTTAGTTTTTAAAATTGTCGATTTTATAAATTTTTAACTACAAAATAATTATTCAATTTTAAATTTAATACATTTTGTCAAAGTTCGATCTATAAATGCTTATAAAAAAAATTGAGGCTATGTATTTTTAATATTTTTCTTGTATTAAATTTTTACAGTTTTTGGCCCAACAGATAAAACTTTATTGATATTTATAGAAAAAAAAACTAAAAAAAATTGAAAACTGAAAATGTACGTAAACAGCTCAAAAAGAGTCAACATATTTTCCAAATTGTATGGTGTAGAGAAATTTTTAATATAAACATTCAGATTCAGTCAATATTTCATGTACCTAAGGTAATTTGTTTAAGAGTTGCCCAAAAATCAAAATCGAGTTTTTCGAAAACAGATTTTGCGTAGAAATTCCCGTGTTTCCTTAATTTTTCTTTTGTTTTTCAAATTGAAAACTACTGGAACATTTTTACTTTTGATCATTTACTTCCTATCAGAAAAGATACTGTTGAAGAAAATCTAAGCATTTTTACTGTCCTAAAAGGTGATGACAGACACAAAAAAAAAATGAAAAAAAAAAAACACACATCATTTAATGCATCGTTCCACTCAGAATCTAAAATAATAATTATTAAGTTTGTCACGGGAATATGATATGGCAAATAAAAACACAATATAGGTAAAATGCAATTGGACAATGTAAAGTACAACCATCAACGTGAAGTCTTTTATTATTGAGAATAAATAATACATTTCCAGGATAACAAACTTATGGAAACAATTATTTTATGTGCAAATATAAGAAAAACAAGAGAAAAGTGTGAAAGCGTTTCAAGTATGATAAAAAAACCATAATTTATTTTTTATGTACATTAACTACGCCTTTAACTGCCCCGGATAGGCATTATATTATACTGTCAGTATTTAGTACCAGGCTAATAGGTATAATAATATAATAATTGGTAGGTATTACTTGCCTTTATCTGTAAGACTGAATTATGGTATATATATCACATATGTCCACATTAATAATAATATTATGTATGTCGTTGTTTTAGATTATAAATAATATTAAAAAAGAACATGTAATTGTAGGTAAGTACTTGTACTTTCCTTACACAACGAATATTTGACAGAAATTGAACATTTCGAATTTCTAAGTAGTTTTTGAAAAATCACAAAACAATTTATAGAAAATATGTAAGTACGCAAGCCAGATTATAAGTTATAACTAAGCATTGGCGAATGACGATTTATTGCTAAGTTGAGCTATTTTTCAAAAACAATAAATTATAAATACCTAACTGTTATTAACTAAATAATTACTAAATATTAACTGAATAATTTATTAAAAAATATATTGAAACCAGGGCTTAGATTTAAATAAGTATATGGTTTTCGGATATTTAAACGTTAAGTATACACTTTTAATGTTTATCGTTATTGTACTTTCAAACGTTATTTGATTTTGTCCGTTTATCGTTTTTATATTTCAAACGTTATATTTTCGAGGTTATTTTATTTTTTTGTTTTCTGTTTAACTTAAATTTTTTTTTATATAAATTATATTATTATTTTTGGTATACATAGGTAATTAACCACACTTTGAAGTAAGAACTATCAAATTAGTAGAATTTGTTGTCCAGGATAGGTTATTTTTAATCATCCTAGGATATTAAGTAGGTAAGTAGCATAACTGGCAAGTTACTAGTCTAGGTGTCAAATATTGCCTAAATATTATGGCAACAATGAAAGAAGAAAATATAATAGATTTTATTAAAATAAAATATTTATAACAATAATACAACTTGAAATGTCATAATAATGTTAATATTATATAAATATTTAGTAAGTAAGTATAGGTAGGTACACCAAACTACGCGCTTGTAGTTTTGTATCTATTATTTAAATTTGTATGACAGAAATAAACTAAAATTGTATTTAATTCAATATTTATAAATCCATCAAGAATAATAAAGTATTTCAAAAATATTAATTACTTTTAACATAGGCTTGCCAACATTAAAATTAAATTGTTCATAGTTTTAACTTATAAGATTCATACTTATATTATAGACCACAAGATTTAAAAATAAAAAGTCATGTTAAGTTCAGCGTAAAAAAAAGCACAAACGATATTTGAAAATTTTTTTAAGTTACATTTTTTGTTTATTTTTAATCATTAATTATGATTAATGATATTATAATATCATGTTTAATGATATTAGATTATTGATTCGTTTATTTTTTTTTTCATCATTTTCCGTTTTAACGTTATAATTTATAATATTATTATATTATTAAATAATTTATAACGTTTTGAAGCCCTAATTGAAACACCTTGACATCATATAATTTACATTTAAAAATTAGCCAAAATTGCCTATATTTAACTCCTTAAAATTGTTAATTTTTTAGGCCCTTTAAGTATTAAGGTTAGACGTTAGGTCATTCAATATAATCTACAAAACACAAGTCAATTGCTGATTTTAAGCTGATTTCCAGTTTTTCCCAATATATAGTTAACTATATATAATAAACTACATATAGGATGAATCACAAAACATACTCAGTGCACACCCCTTATTTTTCCTCAATAATGCAGTTATTCAAAATCTGTTTTTTTGGAAGTTTTAAATATACATAAAAGCCATATTTTTAAGCTCTTAAGATTTTTTGTACTACTTCAGAAGTGTCTTGTGAATATATAAACTTCTTATTTTCAAATTAAATCTGACATTTTCTACTGTAAAATATTAAACAGATAATTTTTCTGAATATTAAGTCATATCAAAATAAAAATTTAAACTACCTAGTCGTTTTTTGAGTTATTTGACTATGTGAACTAAGGATAATAGGTTTGAAAAATATATAGAGCCTTTGTCGATTTGAAAATTGTAGCACTTAATATTAATCTTTCAACAATTATAAAATATAAAAACTGTTAAAGTATAATGAATAATGATTACTAAATCCAATATTACATCTATTTTATATTTTTGTAAAACCATTTTTAAGGATTAGAATCTTTATCACAAATATTTTAATAGGTAACTGAGAAATTATTCACTCAACTTTTGTACTAGCCACTAGGTACATGTTACTTCAATATTTTCAAAAACATTATCCACTAATTAGTTTACATTAAAAATGGTGGTTCTTGTTTATATCTCCACAGGCCATTCCTTAAGTGGTACAAAAAATCTCAAGAATTTAAATAAATTCATTATTGTGAAAATGGGGTGGGCATGTTTGGTGATTGGTGAATTACCCAGTATACATATAGTTAAAATAATAAATAAATATATTAGTCTATTACATTATTTACATTGTGTTGTCTCAGAATGAACAAAAAAATTTTTGTAATTGTTCAGGGGAACGTTTTCAAGTTAGCCCATACCTATAATTCACGTATGAATTAGAACCTTTTCATTCTCTGTATCTCATTTAATAATCAACGGATCGATACAATTTCAATATTGAATTATACAACAAAAAATATTAAATAATAATCTGCAAAAACACTATTTTCAAAAAAATGGTTTAGAACCTTTTCATTCCTAGATGACGACTTACATAAAATGTAATAGTAAAATACGTGACTAATTTGATATATTTTTGAACACAATTACCAGGGTGAACCAACAATGTGACAAAAAAATAATAGCATGGAATGTACGCTTGTCACAAGATACAATCTCAAGTTATTAGTAATTTACAAATTAAAAAAATAATAATAACTTTAGATTGATTTATAAAGTATAAACATGTAAATGTATATTAAATCAAGAGGTTGAGGGAGAATTTTGGTAACTTTAACTCTATAACAGATTGTCCTTAAGAGGATGTCAGCGCACTATTTGTTTTCTCTCTCTGGCCCAAGCGCAACATAGACAAAACACATTTAAACAGAATCATTTTTTCTATGTTTTTAAGTAATCTTAAAGTAAAATCACCCATTACAAAAAAGAGAATAATATTTTTGAGGGTATGACATATTGATTTGTCTGAATATTGTCTCAAAACAATTTAAACATAATTTAAACTTAAAACATTTTTTTGTTTCTTTTGAAAGTTGAATATCAAGTCAAATAACAATAAAATATAAAATGGATATGTCATTCCCTCAAAAATATTATTCTTTATCATTTTTGTAATTTGTTGATTTTACTCTAAAATTACATAAAAACATATAAAAAATGATTTTGCGTTAATGCGTTTTTTCTATGTTTCACATAGGCTAGAGAGAGAAAACAAATAGTGACATCCTCTTAAGACTTAAGAAAAAAGATTTCCTATAGAAGTGATGTGGTAAGTTCTGTAACAATTTTTTACATTTAGACAGTATAAAGGAACAGTAAAAGTTACAGTAACCATACATGATTTTACAATAATTAGGTGTTTTTCTGATAACATATTTTCATATAATAAACACAGGATTTACTTAAGTATCAAATTTTCTGGTAGTTATAAAAATTATTATAAACTTATAACAAATTTAGTATCAACTATTTTACAGAATCATGACCATTTTTGTTGATATTAAATTAAAATAATTTAATATAAACTGTACCTTGTTCAGGTTGCATATTTTAAAAAATCCATAATTTCCCACCTCTACATTTGCTAACAAAATAATGCATCTTAATTTATTGAATAAATTAAAAAATAAAAATAAATAGTTGACAAGGTTAAATGCAAAAAATAAAAAATAATCTATTATGTATAATGTCAAGGCTAAAATATTTTATTAAAATCTAATAACAAATAACACAACACCTAAACAGTAAGTATAAAATAGAAACAATTTTTACTATGCAACTGAGATAAATAAATTTGTTGGTATCATGGTAAATAATAATCATAACACATATTTATAATTATTTTAACACAATTTTTCAGATCATCCCACAAACTTAGTGTGTGAACCTTGAGCTACGATAACATTATCATCTTTCCTGAATAATGTCACTTTTAGAAATGCTAAATTTCTTCCAAGTTTAACAGTTTCAGAATTAATAACTATTTTGTCACCAATTTTTGCTGAATTCAAATACCTAAAAACAAATAATAATTAAATTAATAAAATGTACATACAATAGAAATTTTGGTATTTTTAAATATATTGTATTTGAAACTATAAATACATGTAATTATATTGATTGAAAATAAGTATAATAGTTATAAATATTATTTTATGTAAAATTTATTTATTAATTTTTTATTTTTTTTAATCTTACAAGAAGATAATGGGCTCCACTGAACAAGCTTGTGTGTGGCCAAGTGGGTACATACATATATATATATATATATATTGATTATAAATGTATATTATTATTCATAGTTCATAAAAAAAAAAAAAATTAATAAACTTAGTATAAATTATAAATTTTTTTGTGGATATATTATATTTATAAGGATAAATTGAATAATAAAAATAAACATACGAAACATTAATATTAACAGAAACACCACTGTTAGGCGCCGAATCAATGTCCTCAACAACTCTTGGATGAGTCAATACAGCCATACTAGACAAAACATCTACGGCGGCAGCTGTAAACCCTCCATGGAGTGTACCATATCCATTGGTATGTTGCTTTTCAACAACCATCTCAGCAACACATTGCCCATTTCCAGCTGATATTAAATTCACCTAGAGTAAGTATAGAATCAATTTAATTAGTGAATTTATCAGACTTAAAAATATATTATTTTAAATAGCAACTAACGAATACCATTAAAGAAACCATATATACCTTTTAAAGTTTTAGATTATTATTTTTTACATTATATATATTTTATTCAGACCAGAAGTTTCCGTTAACCAATTACTATTAGGGTATTGTTGAATATTACTTTACAATATTATACCAATACCTTGGTTAATATATTATATCTATACATACTTGTTAAGATAATTTTGTGTTCCTTAACAAATATTGGTTATTTAGAATAGCTGATTTTATTGAGTGTCAAAAAGTTGTTGAGTACATACAGGGTGAATACAAGGGGAACCAAGGGGTGGTGCCATTCTATTAGAATTTCAAAGATTCTTTCCCATTTCTACCTATTAGGTACGTAGATAATTTACTGAAACATAAATTGCTTTATAGTTTCTATAATAAATTCTGATAATACTTGATACGTTTATAGTATAATATGGTTAATCACTTTTTAAACCTATGAGTACCTACTACCTATAAAGGCTCTATTTAATTTTATTTATTTGATGCCATATAGGTAAGTACACATTTTGTGTCACCCTTATTTTATTTTTAAATCTAACTCCCAGATACCTACAGTTTCTCTATAAAATAAACACTTAACATTTAATACATCAAATGTGTGCATATATATTTTATTGTACCTCCTATCACAGTCAAAATTAAAATATCTAATAACAATGTATTAACAAGTATAATATACAGTAACAAATTAAAAAGCTAGTTACTATTAATAAATATGCAACAAAATTAACTATAGGTACCTTTTCCAAAATTTTATCATGCCCATTACGTTTGATTGAAAAATTTAAAATTTTTCTTACTGATTCCAATACTTTATTACAGTTCATTTTAATATTATGTGCAATCAATAATAAATTCTGATTAACAAAATATATACAAGAAAATCTAAACTCTTTATGTTTGAAGTTTGAACTATTTAATTTCACTAATTATTACACTATTCAAATATTGAAATATTAACTGTTTTAAATGAAAGTTATGTTTCTAGTTTTTCACATTCACAATATTTGTCCACTTCGTCGACACTTGACTGATCAGCATTCACTATTCAGTGATAACTGATAACCATAGACTAAATGGTGCCATGGTGGTATCACTAGAATACAGTGTTGGGTAAATTACTTTTAAAAAGTAATGAAATTAAGTCACTCGTTACTTCAAATATTTTTATTTAAATTACTTTTCATTAATAAAGTAGTACGTTACAAATAACGTTAGGTACTTTTTTTTTGAACCCTATTCAATTCATATGATTCAATAATTATGTATATATTTTACAATCATAGATATAGTGATAATAGACCTATTATAGTATTATGCAAGGTGGATTGATATCAATCCACCTTGGTATTATGTACAAAATATGTACAATCATCTCACCTATATATGGCTCATATATAGTCATAAATCATAATTAATTTTTATTAAATTTTATTTTTATACCGAACTCTTTCTGCTAATAAGGTGATAACATTTATTCCTGGAATATTGTAAATTGTAATATTGTAATATGTTAATATTATCGGAATCAAAAATAAATATAATTGATTTTTAATTTTTCTGGGATATCCTATCTGCTTGTTTTTGTAATACATTCAAAACTATTATTTTAATAAGTTGGAAAATAACGCGTTAGTGCGTTACTTCGTAGAAATTACTTTTCAAAAGTAATTTTGTTACAATTGCGTTACTTTAAGTAAAAAAAATTAAAATGTTATGAAATTTCTGCCATGTTACTGAAAAAGTAATTGCGTTACAGTTATTTGTAATTTGCTTTACGTTACTATCCAACATTGCTAGAATATGAACGAATGGATCTTCGCAGGAAAGAATATTTTGGATCTGTATATTAAATTGCCTATACTGACCCCTTTTCAGCAATTTACAAAACAATATGATAATATTGATGACATTATTACCACGAGTCAAATACGCTGATCAAATACGCTTGATACACTACACGCACCGTGGGAACGCTCTTGCTCGTCTAAGAGCGGTATAGCTCGGCCAGGCTCGTGACTATCCGAAAGTTGTCGGTCCGATATGTCCGCGTCAAGATGTAGAGAAGTTATTACATATAAAGATGCGTCAATTTTTTACAGCAGCACACATTTTTCTGGCAATCTGGCAGGGAACTGAATATAATTATTTCTTTTGGGGGTCCAAAGTAAGTAAATTTCTAAATGATTTCAAATGCAAGAATACAAGATACTGAAGTTGAAAATTGAAGCATTTTTTCGACTACTTATCGTGTACAAAGACACAAAAAAAAATTAAATTAAAATAATAAAAAAAAAACCTACATCACTGTAAAATCAATACATTCATCGTTCCACTCACAATCTAAAATAAATAAATGTTGTTATTTTTATTGATATTTTAAGTTTAAATTCGCAGGAAATAAGATGTTTATAGTTTAAATAAAGAATTAAAATCTTATTTATTTTGTTGTGGTTTAAAAATATTATTCGTGGGTAGGTACTTGAAACTTTTGAAGTAGGTATATTATTATATTTTAATATTTTATAATATACAGAGTGACTTTTTCAATTGATATTTTTCGGCAAAAATGAATTTAACCTACTGCATGTTACCAATAGTGAAATAAATTACATTAATACCAATTTTTTTTGGGGGGCTGGGGGGGTCATAAACTTACAAGACCAGCCACCCTCCAAGCAGCCTAACCTCCATTTGCTTCTTTCCATTGTGCTCTAGCCTCTAGGTTCCGTCGCTTCCGTGTCTCTAACTATACAGTCCTCCAATATTTACCTAATCAAATAATATCATAATACATACTTATTAATATAAGCTGATTTTATATCATTGAATTCAAATTTAACACATCCATATTAGAGTGATCCACACTGCCACACGACAGGTTAAATTTGAATTCAATGATGATATTATATATTATACATTACCTTTCATCATATATATACGAAAAACGATTCTGAGCAAAGTAATTTATTTACATATAATATTTGTAGGTAGGTATTATATTACTAAATGGTAATTGGTAATTATATATTAGTTCTATGTATTTATAAATTATGTGGATATTATAATATAGGTATACCTACTATATACCTACCTATATATTTATATCATATAATACTATAGCTAATAGCTATTAACTTTTAAGTCTACCTAAGTGGGTAAGTCAAGACTTTCGTAAATCAGTTCGTCATTTAAATAGACAATAACTTATAGGTAATTAATCTAAATATATTGAAAATATTAACACTTTGAGTGCCGTGTGTATTAATTTCAATACACAACTACTAACATATTCATTTGTGCCGTATGTATTGATAATGAATAATGATTAATGATACACACATTTTTCTTTTGGAAAATCACTTATTTTAGAAAAAGATAAGAATTCTGAAGAAGTTAAATATTTTGTTAATTTGTGCATTGTGTATCAAAATAAATACCAACACGCACAAAAAAAGCATTTAGAATGTTTTTTGTTCCCAAAAATCTGTTAAAGCTTATATTATTGGTATCTTAAAGTAGGTATAACTACGTAACATGAAAAAAAAAAAATAAATTTCCCGGTCAGAATGGTCAGTTTTATCATGTTTGGTCCGGAACTCAAATGTCCCGCGAATAACATTTGAATTACACAAAAATAACTAAATAATTTTTCGTTTAAATTTCTAGGTAAAGACTAAAAGGTATATTTTCAAAATTTTAACTTCAAGTCTATAAAAAAATCGTGCTTATAATTTTTATAGTTTTAAAATGTTTGTTTTAGTAAGAACTATTTATAAGAAACCCGCTGTATTATATGTTTAAATATTAGCTATACAAATTGAAAGTGTTATACCTATACATTTTTAAATATATTTGACTAATTTTCCCCAAAAACGTTATCCAAACACAATATTGACCAAAGTCCAAAAATATTACATTTTTAACAACTAACAATAATACAATCCTAACCTGTGCACTTTGCAAAAATAAACAGTCAAACTTTGTATTTAATTTTACCATTCCACATAACAAATTTATACCTTACCTAAAATAATCTACGACAACTACATAAAAAATAAGGAAATACAAGAAAAGTCCCTAACCATAAATAATTTAATATAATACCTACATATTGAATAACGAAATTATTAGTACCTACTACCTACCTATTACAGTAAATAATATGCAAACCACAACCCAAAGGCATGATATAGATTTACGAACACGTTTTAGATTATTTTAATTTAATGTAGGTACCTATGTAATATGTTTATTGTTTATAGTTACAATATTCGGGCAGTCCACGACACTCCACAGACACTATTTACCAGTTACCACTTAATAGTTAATCGATATTCGATACTTGTACTTATTAGTTATTAACTATCAATTTTTATCTTAAATCTTTAATCTTCAAGTAGGTAGGTCGTAGGTACCTACTAAACCTAATATGTATACATGTTAAAAATATCAAAACATTCAAAACTCAAAATCAAGGCGGACTTATAAATCCACCTTGCTCAAAATGATCTAAGCATCTTATCATATGTTATCAACAATCATTATTGTTATCATTATCGGTACGCGGCATATATTAATGAATTATAGGTGGCTTAGAGCCTAGAGGCGACAGCCGAATATTCTAGTGACATTTCAAATTAAAATTATCTTTAAGACTTATAAGTTATAACTATTTTCAATTGCTCATAAATCACAGTATTACTAATATATTACATTATGTTTCAACATTACTGCATTACTAACTTTTAAAATTTCCATGTTCATTATTCAAATTAATTATAATATTTATTACCTATGTATTTAAAAATGTATTTTCGTGTTATTTGTAATTTATATTTAATTTTATACATAAGTTGAGTTCAGAGTTGAATATGGGAGAAAGAAAATTCACCAAAGGCTTAGGGCGGCCAGGAATGGCAGCTCAACTTCGAGAAACTGTATCTCAAGTTGTCCGCGATAGTTCAAATAACGTAAGTCTTTATAAGTAAATTAACTTAATTATTGTAAAATACTTTTTTAAATTACATATGTTTGATATTTAATTCTAAATTTAATAATGCAAATTTTGTTTTGGAACTAACTTGTAATCAATTATTGCGGATTCTAACTAGATTGTTATATCTGCTAAATGATTTTATGTGTATTGCTTTTAATTCAATAATTGGAGCGTACTATTGATTAGGCTTTTTAAATGTTTAATAATAGGTATTATTGGTAACTATTTCTTAACTTAAGCCTTTTAACTAGATCATAATATCATAATTACACTGTTAAACAAAAGTTTCTCTACCCCGGGCCATAACTGTCCTAATTTCATATATTAGGTAGGTATTAATAATTCCTTTTTTTTTCTATTTCTCTAATGTCATTATTTTCTCTGCTGAAATTTTATAATAGCTCAATAATGATTAATTAAACATAAAACTAAAATATAAAATTCTAATTTTGAATTTTAAAGTTAATTTGGGTCATTTCAACATTTTAGGTCAATAAGTTCAGAGCCTTAAGGTTTACCTAAATTTCAAAAATAAAATACCCACTTAATATTACCTAATTGTTTGTAAAAAGTGTTTTCTTAATTAAACAAATGTTTATCTATTGATAAAAATAAAATAAATATAATTCATATTGTTAGGTACCTATTCTATATATTATTTTTTTTGAAAAAATATAATACCTATGTTTTCATTATTCTACTTATAAATAATGTTTAAATATTATTATTTTATTTTGTGGTAGCAAAAATGTTTTCAAGTAGATCCATTAGACTTCGAAGACTATATTGCTAAAAACCATACAGTTTTTCAGAATGATCCTCAAAGAG